GTGGGTGCCACCTCGGCACGCCCCCTGGGGGGGAGGGGGGGGGGGGTTTGTCATTCGAGAGAGGCAAAACCCGAGCTGAAAGGGAGAGGAGGGGGGGGAGAAAAAAAGGCCAAAAGAGGCAAAGTCAAAGCTGGTCCAATAAATAACATCTTCTGCACCATCCGCGGGTAGGAGCGGAGGGAGCCGGGGACAAGCAGTGACATTTGCTGCCAGGTTTTAGGGGGGGTTAAGGGGTGGGTTTTTGCTTGGCTGGCTGATTTCGTTGTTCTTTCCCCCCTTTCCTCTCGCAGTCGAGCCGACTGTGGATTTGTCGAACGAAAAACGCAGCTATTAAAAAGAAAAAATGATCATCATCCTCATAATCCTAAAAAAAGGGGGTGAACAAAAAAAAAGGGGGTGAAGAAAAAAAAGCGAGGGGAAGTTTCGATGACAATAAAAAAGGCTACAACTGTTTGACAGGTAGTTACTGCTGTGTGAGCCTCTCCATTCTATACTCTATAAAAGCAAATGACCGTCGTAAACATCTCGATTTATCATCTGCCATAAAACGAGACTTCAAGGGGCTGAGAACTCAGTCCTTGCTTTCTTCTTTTTCCTCCTCTTCTTTTTCCTCTTCTTCATTCCCTTCTTCTTCCGTTTTCTCCTCGTCCCTGGCCCCCGGCAGCTTATCTTTATTGTTTTCTTTTTTCCACTTCATCCTCCTGTTTTGGAACCAGATCTTCACTTGTCTCTCGGTCAGTCCCAGGGCGTGTGAGACCTCAATCCGTCGCTTCCGTGTCAAATACGGGTTGAAGAGGAACTCCTTTTCTAACTCCAGGGTCTGGTACCGGCTGTAAGTTTGTCTGCCACTGCGTCTCCCGGGAGCTGTAGGACACAAACACCCAAGAACTTCTTAATTCTCCCCACTTTGGAGGCTCTGCTTCCCCCCCTCCCCCAACCTTTGCCCCCCTCGCCTTGATTTTCCTAGAGAAACTGCTCCCCTCCTTTTTCCCCTGCCCCTCAAAAAAAGCCCCTCTGGAGGTTTTGCGTCTTCCGAGAAGGGTTATGATGGATCAGCTGATGGATCGGCTGAGAGTGGCGATAGTCGCGATAGCCGCTGCCCTTCCCTGGCTCTTCTGGGTGCAGGGGGGGAGGTGGGTGTCAAGCTCATTCACAAAAGAGACCTTGCCAGCTTCCCAAAAAGGGGGGGTCGGGATGGGGAGTCCTGGTGGGCAGCTCCATTTTATATTAAAAAGAAAAAATAGATTTTTTCTTATGAAAGGTGCATTGTTCACCATAAAAAAAAAATAAGCTCTCCAGCCTTTCTCCTTCTCCCCATCCCTTTTTCTTTCTGCCTTTCCCTTTCCTTCTTTCCTTCTGTCTTTATCTTTATCTTTATCTTTATCTTTATCTTTATCTTTATCTTATTCTTTCTTTCTTTTCCTTTCTTTTTATCTTTCCTCTTTC